AACATTTTCTCAGTAAATATACACTACTGTTTAAAATACTAGGGTCAAGGTTGCATTTTTTTTAAATACAAAAATACAGTAAAATAGAAATATTGCAAAATATTAAAATTTAAAGTAACTGTTTCCAAATCGAATGTGATCATCTGTGTTACGTATCCGGTCCATGAACTTCCATCTGTTAGCCATCAGAGGTCACCCTTTCCATTTTCATTGACTCTCGCACTACACACTGTTGCATATCACCCCGGACTACATATCCCATCATTCATTGCACTGATTTCACACAGCACTGATTGCACACAGCTGTTTCATATCACTCACTCACTATTTAACACTCACTCGAATCCCTTCCTGGGGCCGAGTATTGTTTAGCGCTTATCATTTGATAGCTACACTACAGAGCCCTCGTTAGTTTACCCTGCCTTAGCCTAGTCTTGCCTTGTCTGTTTTCTCGGTTTCTGATCCTTGCCTGGTTTCCTGGATTTATCCCTTTAGTCTCGCCCTTTTGATTCTGTTCGCCGTTCGTTTGACCTTCGCTAGCCCTAGGATTATTCTTGTGTCTTGTCCACCATATTCCTGTTTGCCGTTGTCTGACCCATGCCTGTTTCTGACCACGCCTGTGAATAAAGCTTGCACATGGATCCGCACGTCTCACGTCTCGTCAGCCACGTTACAGACGTTACAATCTGGATGGTACAGCTGAATTTTCTGCATTCAGTACTCCAGTCTTCAGCACCACATGATCCTTCAGAAATCATTCTAATTTGCTGATTAGGAGATCAAGAAACACATCTTTTTATTATCAAACAGTTGTACTTTTAATATTTTTTAATTGAAAGTGTGATTAATTTTTCAAGGATTCTTTGATTATTAGAAAGTTCAAAAGAACAGCATTTTGTTAATGGAAATCTTTTGTAACATTGTAAATGTCTTTACTTTTGATAAATTTAATGCATCCTTGCTGAATAAAACATTCATTTCTTTTAAAAATCTGACAGTTTAATTTGTTGTATAAGTGGAAATTCATACTCTACATGAGGTCATATCTAAAAGACCTACAAACGTCCATAGCAGTCATTCACAATATGACCATTTTGTATTCCCTACTCAGATGCATCAGAATAAATGACAGAATTCCCTGTGATGAATCAGTATCACAAGCGTGCATGGAGAGCGGCTTAAAGCCAAGTGAGTTAGGCTTTCCTCGTGAGATCACAATCTGGATCGATCCATCGGAGGTGTGTGTGCGGTAAGTTCTGGAATATTTCTGTGAATGGCTTGTTATTTGATCAATTAAAAAAGACTGTTCCTTTTGGCCTTTTTATGAATGATTATGCTTGACATGTTCTGTGAAGTGAGAACTTATCACTAAAAGTAATGGTTCACATTCATATATATGTTCCCACAGGTCTGGGGAGAATGGCAGATATTTTACAGTAGCTCAGTTTGCTAAAGTGGAGGATGAGGAAAGGGACTTGAATCAGGATGATACTTTTCGCCAAGTGGATTCTGTGAATCTGGATACATCCGACTACCACTCAGCAACCTCATCTGACTGCGGCTCAGCAGTCTCAAGTGATACAGAAGAGGAGGTGAAAGCGAACCAAACGAAAAAAGTAGAGGAGAGAACAGTGAAGAATACAGTTCATACAACAAGATCTAAAGCAAGGGAGCCTAAAGTGCCACGCAAGTTTACTCCAGCTCAGGTAAATACCATTATGCGTTGCTTAAAGGGATAGTTCAACTTCAGTTGCTGGTCCCCATTGACTTACATAGTGTTTTTTTCCATACTATGGACCAGCAACTGAAGGTGTACTGTCCCTTTAAAGTTCACTCAGTAAAAAAATGTAGAAAAAAGGGCAACTTCTGCAATTAAAAAAGTAGTTAAACTAACATTGTAAAACATTTTCTGTCATTAACAGATCCCTGGCCCGCAGTTCTTTTATAACCCTGCACCGATGTGGCCCCAGTACAAGAAGAGAGGCATGTTCTTCACGACTGTATGCGCACCGGCACCTTCTCCGTTGTTTGCTTACTACGTCGTACCCAAAGCCCCTCCTCAGTTCATTGTGCCTCACGCTACCCTCCAAACCTGGGGGACAGTGAAAGGGTAACCAAAACCAGTGTATCTATAGTGTAAGACGTATCTGCCAATCTGCAGGGAACTTTATAGCTTATTAGAATGAAATCATAAACTTGAAATATAGTGTCAAGCATGTCAAGTATTTAACTTTTCACTGATTTGGGGCTTATAAATTCAAATGAACTTTAAGCTTTTCATTTTACCTGTTCTGCCGTTATTTATTTTTTCTTTGGGTTTTTAGCTTTAGGTTTTTATGCGCTAAAATAGTCAATCAATATGTTTAAACTTCTCTTGCACAAAACACTGGCTCTGTTATTACTTGATCACAAACTGTACAGAAATTATTTTTCAACTTTGCCAAAGTTGGATTACGGCATACTTGAATTTTTTTAGTCATAGATATGGAAATCAAAACTTTTCCAGTAGCTTCTGTAGTGAGTGTTTTAGTGTTTTGGTAACTTTTTATGCATAGAACACTTGAGTGAAATTTAATGGAGTAGAATTGTTTTGAGTGAATGTAATTATTTACTGAAATACTCAATGGACGCACATTCCCAAATATTACCAGCAGTTCAGCTCAGGTGTAATAGTTTATGAAGTTACCTCTAAAACAACAAGCATCCTATACCTTTTCTATTAAAAATAATCTCATATACTGAAGCCAAAGAGTGCTGTGTGGGTGAGGTTTCAAATTAGTAGCTGCACAAGTTCCTGACTAATGGGAATTCACCTTTAAGAATAATCATATCTGCTCAAGATGTAGAGAGGACTGCATTAACAAAAACATTATTTATTTAGTTATACTAGATTCTGGGCACAATGTTATTATTTAAATTTGTTTAAATGATGATAATTGTACTGTCATTTTTTTCCAATACCACTAGGTGGTAGTATACATTGCCTCAAGCCATAATTTCATTACAAGCCATATTTCCACATTTCATTATCTTGATATTTTGATTGTACATAACAGATTTTCTTCTTGTAGTATTTGTTTTGTAAAAACTGCATGTAAAAGTGTAGTGTCATCTCACAATTGCTGTCATGTGTACCAGCAGAAATTATTTTATAATCTGCCTTTTTAGATTTTACCTTTGCTATATCATTATTATTAATATATAAATAAATTGTGTGCAGTTTTGTATGTTAAACTTATAACCTATGCTATGTTTACAAAATTTTGCCCTTTTTCTCAGTCTTCAAATGCATATTTATTTGTGCTTTCTTTCCCTGTAATCTGTAAAATTATGTTTTGCTGTTATGCAATCACTGTAAATATTGCTTCTGCTTTAGCTAAAAAGTAATGAACTATGTCCAACGGATGTTACAAATATATATTTTATTACTAAAACAGTAACAGTTTTATTTTTTTATTTGATTATGGTAAAATATAAAAATGTTCCTGAAATGTATCGATTTGGCTGATTCTGGATATAATCTATTCCTGAATTATGCAATTCACAGTATTCTTCATAGACTGAAAATGAACAAACTCAGACTTTTAAACCTTTTGTTGAATCTTTTCATACTCTTTATGGCCTGATTGAAGAATTAGGAGTTTGGGGAGTCTCAAGAAGGCCTACTCTGAAGGCTAAAGGTTATAGGATCTCTGTAAGCTTTTTAAACACCTTCTAACCTCTGAAATCAAGCCAAATATATGATGGAAACATTCTAATGTACTACTCTTCATGGGCTCCTCGATTGAGTTGGACTGAACACTTATTGGGATGGTTATTGTAGGTTCTGTGCTACAGGATGCCCTGGCGGAAGGATCCACATGGGGCTAGTGCGTCACATGGCCCAAGGTCATTACGTCATTCCTAGAGGAAGACAAGCAAGGATTTGCACATAGAAATAGAATCTGCTTCAGTTCATTGGGTTTGAAGGAGGTGGATTGTAAACGAAGAGGAGAGAGCAACAAACCTCGTGGCCACTCATGTTTAGTTTCTGAGTTCCTGTCCCTCTAGAGTTCATTATGGAAGTGACAGTTTGATATTTCATTTTCTGAATGGTCTATATAGGAATCTCGTTATCAAATGCTTTAAATTAGCTGTCACTGTTAAACTAACAAACAAGTATAGGCCTATATCAACTGCGGTGGGCAGTGCAGTAGTTGGTTGAGGTCCACCTGCAAGCAAAGTATGGTCTGGGCTTTGATATAAGTATATAGTTTAACTGGTGTTTTGAAATCTTTCAATAGGCTAACCTCAAAAAATGCAACTAGTTGCTAAACATAAGCTAGTAGAGGTAACCATAGCACAATAAGCATCCAGCTGCCAGTAAGTTACTGTAAAATTTACAGCAACCTATTTACAGTGCTACTATCGTTGCAATCCATTGGACGGTGCACTAACATAATGCCATCAGTATATTTATCACTTACCTAAAAGAAATATGTTTTGTGTACAAAGAACTAGTCTAGAAACATCACGCGGGAACAGATTGTTCCCCGAAAATACATATAAAAGCATTTTTATGAAGTCTACCGTAATTGAAGCACTGGACCTACAGTATACACAATTAACTAAACCGTTAATCTTGCACTAAACGGGTCTCCCACTAGAGGTAGCCTACCCCTCTGGACAAATTTGTGTCTATTGACTGTATTTTGTAGCTCAAACGTGCTGAGAGCGCAAATATGAGCTATTAAACACTTAATTGTAACACTTGTATCGTTAAATGTTTGGAGCTTAACTCTGCCATATAACTTTTGCATTTCCACTGATCTTGAACTGTAACTCTTTTAGAACACATTGCCAAAAGTCCAAAAGTTTGAACGATAGTTTCCTGAAAGAAACATTAGCTAACGACAACAAACGAAGAAAAAATGTATGCCACAATCATCATATGAGGCGACACCACTTCTAAAGAAGCTGATGTAGTCCATCCACAGCATACGTAAGAGCGCTACTTCAGAGTGAACAGTTTCAGAGCGCCTACCCACAGACTACAAGTCAAATGCTGAGGCACGTATCACTGTAAGTGGAAGTTCGCAGAGGAGTGCGCACTTCGGTATTCACTCTGTGCTTTGAAATAGCTACTTTTTGACTTCAGCGTGCTATGCCTTCCGAAATTTTGGTTGGAGAGGGGGAAGGACAGGATGGAGAACAAGGCAACTGATGTCTGTATGGGCTGACGACAAGAGCGCGCTATGGAGATGACCGCTCGCCTTGCGCACTTGGACAACAAGGTGGATGGCAGAAACTGTGATGGTCTTGTCAACCACAACGGGGAAACGACGGAGATAAGAGTTCCGCTGTCTCACACGGGGAAGAGACTCAGTCCGATCGAGGGGGGAAATCTTTACAGACTGCGTGACAGAAAGTTCCTTTTGGAGGACAAGAAGCGCCTCTGCTCGTGGGCACTGGGAACCGCGTTGTTAGGCATTCTGCTGATGGTATTACATGCTGAGCTGTGCCCAGTAGTGTATCAACCAGTAAGTAGATCTACAGCTATAGTGAAATACAGCAAACAGTAGTGCGCTTGAGACAACCGAGTGGTGAATTTGATGGATGGAGCATCAGTTTTGAGCTCTAGAGAGTAAAATGATAGGCTATTCAATAAAGAGAAATATCACCCAAATTTAGAAGAAAAGACAAAAAGATTATTTACCCAAATAAAGAAATTAAACGTTCTAAAATTACGCCTGGTTGAAATATTCATAGCTAATTTTAATTTTAATTTAGTTGTGTGGAGCTAAAACGTCGTTGCTGAATTAAGCAAAATCTTAACTGTTTTGCTACACTGTAAAAAGTGGATACATGCACTATTTCTATACTTGATCTAACCATTGAAATTACTTTAACTAGTAAATAAAACTAGTAAATTAGGCTGATTTAGTTTCACTTGGACAAAACACGTTCATTTAGGGAGCTCGAACACCTACGGGATTGGCCAAACATACACGGAAAAACACGAGATAGGCTACTCTTCGTTAACTTTTACCAATCAAAAAACCTGGGGAACTTCTCTGAGGTCCCTGCGGGGCGTGATACAC